CCCAGCTACTTGGGAGGCTGAGGCAGGAGACTCGCTTGAGCCCAGGAGTTGGAGGTTGCTGTGAGCTGTGATGCCATGGCACTCTACTCAGGGGGATAGCTTGAGGCTCTGTCTCAAAACAAACAAACAAAAATATCGGCATGTGGGATGCAGGTTGGGGACCCCTGATTAACAGGTACTAAACTACAAATAAATGAATGACATTTTAGTTTAAAAATAGGTTTACAATCATCTTTTCAATAAATTGTGCCAGGACAATTACATATCCACATGAAAAAGAATGAATTTAAACCCTCCACCTTACCCTATAGCATAGACAAAGACTAACTCAAAATGAATCAAAGACCTACATGTAACTATAAAACCCTAGAAGGAAACATAACTCCTCCTAAGCTCCAGCTAGTCAACGACTTCTTAGATACAACACCAAAAGTAAAGGGCAAAAAGGAAAAATCAACAAATTACTTATATCAAAATAAAAAATGTGCACTTCAAATGATACCATCAAGAATGAAAAAACAGTCCACAGACTGAGAGATAACATTTGCAAATTATCCATCTCGTAAGAGACATATTTCTAGAACATATAAAGAACTTCTGTAACTCAATAATAAAAAGATAAATAACCAGTTAAAAAAAATAGGTAAAGTACACAACTTAGATGAAATGGACCAATTCCTTGAGAGACACCATCTGGCAAAATTCACACAAGAAACAGACAATCAGAATAGGTCTATGTCTATTGCTATGGTTGGAATCTTTGTGTGCCCTAAAATTCTTTTCTTGAATTCTTAACCCCTAAGGTGATGATTATTTAGAAGTAGAGCCTTTGGGAGGTGTTCAGGTCATGAAAGTGGAGCCCCATGAATGGAATTAGTGCCTTTATAAAAGAGGCCCCAGAAAGATGCCTTGCCCCTTCCACCATGTGAGGACATAGTGAAGAGACAGCTATCCAGTGATGACCGGGAACAGTGACCTCAGCAGACATGGACTTACCAGCCTTCAGAACGCTAAGAAATAAATTTCTGTTTTTTATAAGGTACCCAGTAAGACATCAATTAAAGAAATTGAATCAAGGCCCGGTACCTGTAATCCCAGCACTTTGGGAGGCCGAGGTGGGTGGATTGCCTGAGCTCAGGAGTACAAGAACAGCCTGAGCAAGAGCAAGACCCCCCATCTTCTACTTAAAAGAGAAAAACTAGCCAGGCATGGTGTTGCATGCCTGTAGTCCCAGCTACATGGTACTCAAGAGTCTGAGACAAGAGGATTGCTCAAGCCCAAGAGTTGGAGGTCACTGTGAGCTGTTGACACCATAGCACTCTACCCAACAGAGTGAGACTCTCTCTCAAAAAAATTTTTCTGGGCTCGGCGCCTGTGGCTCAAGTGGCTAAGGCGCCAGCCACGTACACCCAAGGTGGCAGGTTCGAATCCAGCCCGGGCCCACCA